TAGTGATGTACATGGCATTTTTATTATTTGATTCACCTGTGTTTGTCTCTCAAGTATAATTTATGTCTATTGTGAATAGCAAAACTAAAACACGGTAAAATTAGCAAAACAAGCTAAAAAGAAATGTTCTGAACAACCAAGACTTTAATAAATCACCTTTAATCAGTACACGTGATTCTTTAGTTGTGAAAGGGGGAGGGAGGGGGGGACTAATTGCTAAATAGACAATATATACTAAGACAATATACTAAGGATTTTCTATGTTGTCCTTGTCATTTGTCAACATAACAAATAGAATATAAGTCATCAACATCATCATTGTCAATGTTGTCATTGTTTACATCCATGTTGTCATAAATGTTGTCATTCTATAGACATGATTAACATCATCATGGTCATCAACATCATCATGGTCGTCAACATCATCATCTTTGTCATCAACAACATTATGGTTGTCAACATTTAACATTTTWAAATCAACATCACCATGGTCATCAACATAATAATAATCATTGTCATCAACATCATCACCATCATTCTCATCATTATTTTCATTCTATTAATTCATTTTGTTTTTTTGGTGTTATTTGCTCAGGAATGCGAAGCTAGAGAAGATAAACTTTACAGAGGAAACAACCAGGTCATCAATTTAACACTTAGTTACATTTGGTCTGGATGTGTTCAAGAGAGCAAGAATAATGTTAAAACACTTACTTGTAAAGGTATGTTGGTTAGTTCAGTTTCTAGTTCATTGGGTAGTTCCAGAAATGACTTAAATTTTTTTGGAATGGACTGAATCTGAAACATATAGCAAGGAATGAATTCTTAGGTTTTCGATTCAAGTTTACGATGTGATTGAAAGACTACAATGTGATTGAAACTACGAAGTCCAGTTGGTTTGTCCGCTCTTATCACATTCTTGCCTCTCTTTTCTCAATTCTCACCCCTCGCCTTTCTTTTCACATTCTTGCCCCTCACCCCTCTTTTCACATTTTCACCCTTCACCCCTCTTTAAATTCTTGCCCCTTGCCCCTCTTCACATTCTCACCCCTCGCCTCTCTTTTCACATTCTCGCCCCTCGCCCCTCTTTTCACATTCTCGCCCCTCGCCTCTGTTTTCACAATTCTCACCCCTTGCCCTTCTTTTCACTATTCTCGCCCCT